TCCATGTTTTCTGCTTGATGATTCAGATTGAGCCACGTACCTTTCATAAAATAGTTGGTACCAGTTTAATAGTTAAAAGTGGTTTTCAAATAATGTTTTAAGGGGAACACAGAGCTAAGGAATTGGAGATACTGGAACCTCTTGTAAAACTGTTTTCCCCACCTGCTGCATTTTTCCTTCAAGAACTACCCTGTATGGAGCAATAAGCATCAGGTCTTTTCCACGAGTAATGCTTAATTCTCCTTTCCCCTGTGTCTGCTGCTTTTTGTTTCCTTTTGTTTTATTTTGTTTGTGGCCATCTTGCTCTTTCCTTCCTGTAGTCTATTCCTGATTTCCTAAGGTATGATGAAAGATGTTCTAATGTCAGTTCAGCATAATACAAAGGTGGCCTCACCAGTACGAGCACTTTGCCTAATGCAGTGCAGGATGCCATTAGCCTTATTTGCTGCCAGGTCACACTGCTGGCTTATTTTCAGCTTTGGGTCCACATTGCAATGATTTCGTGTCGTCAGTGTACAAAGTTAAATGACACGTGTACTTCCCTGTCATGGGTTTCTTTTGGGCATAATGCAGCTTTTTACCTCATGACTGTCAGCCTCAGATATAGGAATTTTTGAGCCATTGTGTGTATGAATGTAGGTTTCAGTGTAGCCGTAAAATCAGGTTTTACGGAACTGAGCCGGTTCCACCTCTCATTTGGTTGCAGTCAAGAAACCTTTTTGATCCTCTCCTCTGCTTACTGTTGCAAGCCTGTGCCGGCAAGAGATTTACCCAAGCTGTCTGTTCATACCAATCCTGACCTTCACACCTGCACTTTACAGGTCATAGTGGAGAAGGTCTCAGGATCTCAGATTGTTGATATTGACAAGAGGAAGTACTTAGTTCCATCTGACATCACCGTGGCCCAGTTCATGTGGATCATCAGGAAGAGGATTCAACTGCCATCTGAGAAAGCAATATTCCTCTTTGTAGACAAGACTGTCCCACAATCCAGGTGAGAGGCTATTCATGTAGTATTCAGAACCATTTCAGCAAACCTGTGCATATCAGAGGGTCAGTAACACCATTCTTTGAGGCTCATTTGGTGGTTTTAGGAAGTGTTTGGTTACATTTTCATATCACTGTGAAAGGGTTTTTTCCCTATGAGTTTGATAAACATCTTATTTTTTGAGCCAGACTTAAGGGAAAGGTGACTGAAAACTATATTATAATTTACTTCCATGGCAAAAGGGTGAGCTTTGCAGTTATGATATCCTTGGCTGAGTGCAAGAACACATACATCATCAATCTCAAAAAAAATATTATTCTCAATGTAACAAAAAAGATGCATATTAAATATTTAATAGCAAATGTCATAAATTATTCTAAAAAGCCCAATAACCTGTCAGCTTACAAAGAAATTATGATGTTACAGACTAGTTGCTGTTACTTTTTTAAAAAGTTACTTATTTTCATCTATAAACAAAAAAATGCACAATTGCTATAGAAAGGTTTTTCACATTGCTTTTATATAGGAGTAAGTTTCACTGTTGTCTGCTACATACAGAATATAGCAGAAGCAGCTACTACAGCCGCTTTCAACAGGAGATTTTTTAACAACATTTGAAGAAATAGTAAGTCATGTTGTTACATGACTTAGATGTAATAATATTCTTATTACTTACTTGTTGTAACAGTAACAGTCCTTCCAGGTATCCTGTCCAGACTCAGGAACATTTTTTATTTACTCTGTGATACACAGTAGGGAGAACCATGACAACCATCTTTTTCTACTTGTTTTCTTTTAAGAGTAATAGGAATGCCTGTATGTCATCTTCATAACAGGACTGTAGAACTGCTAGGAACAGGACAGACAGACACATTGTCTCACGTCACATGTTCACTATGAGGTCTCACATCTCAACTGGAAAAATAGGGCTTTAAACCTTCAATATCAATGTAAAAATAACTTTTTAACAGATAAAATATCCCGTTAATGGCTCCGCTCATCTCATAGGCTGAGTTTATTACATAAACTGGATGAGGAGAGGAGGATGTGAAGGGTTAGTGATCTATCTGCTACTCACCAGTTCTCTTCCATTTCAAGCACTGCCTCCAAGTCCTCCCAGCTCCTCTCTTGGGTAGAACGACATGGTTGTTTTCCCTGTCGCTCCCATCCAATCTCCATCTTTCAGTTTGTGAGCCTTTTCTCAGTCTTGGGAAGCTGGAGAAAGGTGAGCTAAGGAGGAACCATTTGTGCACCTGACTGATGTCAACTGCCTGTTCCACCTGTAGGTAAACAGTTGGAGCAGTTGTACTGGCCAAGTAATTGCCTGGGTTTCTTTTTGGTTTCAAAATACAGACATTGCCCTAAATACCACAACTGCTTAGACTGTGAAGGGCCACATGCATATTAAGTTTAAGAAATTTTTTATTTGATCAAATGTTCAAAACCTCAGCCACTGAAAAAGCATTAGTTTCCAACTAAATTGTAATTTACTGCCCAGATATTTTGGTACCAGCACTATTTGAAGTCATCACTTTTTGACAATATAGAAAACAAAGCTTTTGCCCCCCAAAACAACCTGGACCTCAAAGAAACAGTCCAAAAAAGAGACCAGCCGAACATTCAGAACTATACCAGGTGGAGGGAGGAATGAGGTTGCTCACACAAGAAGCAAGACATTAATGCAGCTGCATTCAAGTACTGTCAGGCCATTTATCCTGGTATTAGTCACAGCATCTAATGCACGATTCAGAACCTGAAGTACATTCAGTGATTTATTTCCAATAAAATAAGGAAGTGTTCTGACAAACGTGTTTGTGAAGAATTATCAAAAATTTACTATGCAGAGAGCCCAGGATCATTTTACTAACTCAAGAGTCAACTGCTTTTCATATATCCTCATTTTTGCATTTTAATTTATATACAGATTTATAAGTTTTAGCTTTTATTACTCCTTGTTTATGCAAGGTTCTAACTGTTGATATTTGCAACTGTCATGAGCCAAACAAACCATTTCTCTTTTTTTCCCCTTGAAGCTTAACTATGGGACAACTTTATGAGAAGGAAAAGGATGAGGATGGATTCTTATATGTTGCCTACAGTGGAGAGAACACATTTGGTTTCTGAATGGTGGGTCTTGGATACTATACCATCCTGCTGTGTATCTTGTAAATAGCTGATCATTTTCTGTTCGGATGTCCACAGAAGTTCCTTCTATATACATGCATTTGTAACTGGATTTATTTCTTAATATATTGATAGATCTTGTTTTATTAGACTGTTAAATTATAAAAAAAAAGTTTTGTTGGTTTTGTGCATTTTTGGTTTTTTCTCATGGCTATGAATTCCCAGAGCCTCACTTCTTTGGAGGATACATTTGATGACATTGATAAAATAATAAAGCAAGGTAGTTGGGCTACTAAAACATGAAGAGAAGAACACACATTTATTCTGTTTTGAGGTGTTAGTTTAAGAAAAATAAAACCAATAAATTAGTATTGGGAACACTGGATTTGCTAGCTTCTCCTAAGCAGGACCAAGATGCTGATCGTGTTGAATTGAGCCAGTATGTTCCTCTTTCTCAATTAACAAACAAGTACAATAAAAATTCCTGTCACAAACAGGTAGTGCTGTCATTTCTTTACCTGAATTTTGTCCAGAAAGTTGCATATCACATTTACTAGATGCTATACAGCTGCTTATATTACTTACTAGACACTGTACAGCTTCTCAAACTTCAGTGTGGCTGATGATGCAAGGAAGAAACAAGGAGCTCTTTGTAGGTTCCAAACCCAAGAATTTCAGATCTACTTCATCTCATCAGGAAAAGAGCTAAGCTGGCCCACAGGCTATCAGTGGATGAGTAAATACCATGGACTTTGGAGAACAGGACCCAGGTGTCAAAAGCACAGCATGTAAGGGAAGGGCACCTAGGTGAAGGAATTATACAAACAGGAGACCTAGAGATCTGAAGAAGTGGAAGGTATAATTCTTACATGAGTTATTGCAGAGCAAGAAATAATTGTAAAGGAGTTCAGATTAAAACAGCTGCATGAGCAGCTCTTAAAAAAAAATACAAACCCAAACCAAACACCCCCTCACCCTAAAAAGTAGTTGCATTACAGGTAATTATATAAATACATGTCCTTTCCGATCAAAACTCAGTAGATATTGGTTCGGGTGACAAGCCAGAGGGAGGGGACACCATTCAGAGGGACCTGGAGAAGCTCAAGAAATGGGCCCATGTGAACATCATGATGTTCAACAAGTGCAAGGTGCTGCAGCTGGGCCAGGGCAACCCCCAGGATCAGTACAGGCCGGGACTGAAGGGAATGAGAGCAACCCTGAGAAGGACTTCAGGGTACTGGAGGATGAAAAACTGGACATGAGCTGGCAGAGTGCACTCACAGGTCAGAAAACCAATTGCATCCTCGGCTGCATCGAAAAAAGCATGGCCAGCAGGGTAAGAGGGGATTCTGTCCCTCTCCTCTGCTCTGGTGACACTGAAGCACAGCTCGGGGCTCCTCAGCACAGGAAAGACACGGTCCTATTGGAGCAGGTCCAGAGGAGGTCACAAAAACTACCGAGGGCTGGAAGAACTCTCCTATGAAGACAGGCTGAGAGAGCTGAGGTTGCCCAGAGAAGGCTCTGGAGAGACCTTATTGCAGCTTTTCAGTACTTAAAGAGGGCCTGTAAGAAAGATGGGGCAGGCATTTTAATGGTTTTAAACTATGAGGGTAGACTCTGACGAGATTTAAGGAAGAATTTACTTTTTTTTATGAGGATGATAAAAAAACTGAACAGGGTGCCCAGGGACGTTCTAAATGCACCCTCCCTGGAAACATTCAAGGTCAGACTGAACAAGGCTCTGAGCACCCTGTTCTAGTGGAAGGTGTCCCTGCTTACTGCAGGGGGGTTGGACCTTTAGAGGTCCCTAACTATCCAAACCAAACCACTCTATGATTCCACTTCGTTGAGACAGACAGCTAGAATTAGAAATGCTGCATGCACAATATTCAAGATCAGTTCCTCCAGTTTATTGAGTGCTGTTGCCAAAGCATGTACACAGTACAGCAAAAGTGAAGAGGCTTAATCAGAAACCAAAATCTTCTCTTCAAATGGGCTTAGCAAAGTAACGCAGCTACTTCTACTTACAGGCAAAGAAGCAAACCTGTGGATCACCCAGGAGAAGAGGGTGGAAAAACCACCTCATTGACTCAGTTGCACAGTACTGAAGTTCATGCCTTGATATTAAAGGATACCACTGGCTTGGAAAAGTAGCATCACACTGACCTTCCTAAGCCAGCAAGGAAACACTAAATACAGTTTACATTCCAAATAAAAGTTTTACTTCACTTTCACACTACATGGTGCATAAAAATTTAATTTTTAAAATGTTTCCAGTTACAGTGGGAATGTATCACTTTCCAAAATTAAATTCATACTAACTCAAAGTTCCATGAAGACACATTATGCCTAGAATTATGTTTGGCTCTGCACTCATTCACAAGTGTTGGCAGAAAGACTCCAAAATGTGAAGGTAGGAGCCTGTGAAATGTTCACACTACTCTATTATTGAGGCTTGTCACAGTAACTGTGCTCCATGTGCTGACTGCATCAGAAAATGCTCTGTTGGTCTCAGTAAGCCTTTCATTATTCACAATAGCACTGCACTGTATAGCACTGCTTTAGTAAACATTCCATCACTGCTTCCGTCCTGAATTCCCTCTAACCCCCTTTCCAGGCATTAATGTTTACTCCTAACAGAATTTTTGATTCAGAATTAAGAAAAGTGATTTCATATGTCTTTTTTTTTTAATTACCTTTTATTACTGGAAAGTGTTGTTTCCTTTAAGCTGAAACTTCACAGTTTTTCTAGTTATCAAGTAATATTTTTTCTTAGCTGTTAACACATCAGTTAAAACTGCTAGATAAACGTAATTACAGGCTAGCAAATAGATATATCTAAAAGTAAGGAAAGATGTTATGATCGAGGTGACTTTTGTATTACCCTTCATAATCCTCTTAGAACACCACATGACTGTTCTCTTTAATGTCTCTGTATTTATTAGTTTAGATTAAGGAGCCCAGATATGCAAGTAATTCTAGAGAATGCAAGGATAAATGTTCTACAGCAGTAACTTTACTTTTCCTCTGCAGATGCACTTAAAATGGTGATAAAACATCAAGAGATTTCCTTTTGAAATGCATAGACGAAATGCATCCCTTTAGAAAGTACAGTCACTCCTATAAAATTATTATAAGCACTTGGGTCCCATATGATCTTCACTTGCTGTTAACCCTTTAAGATTGGGAAGGCATTTAAATTAATATACTGAATAGAAAACGAAGAAATACCTCCTTACTACTACACAGCAACACTTCTGTATCACCTATCTTTGAACTGAAATGTCACCTCTGATATAACTAGACTGATATAACTGGATGAATTTAGTATTCAGTAAATATTTAGTATTCACACCATTTAGGTGGTCTTTTCTCAAAAATTATCTTGCTTCTACCTGCAAATCATTGCTGCAACCTGCTCATGGCATTATCAGATACTATGAGAGAAAGAACTCCAACACCTTTCTTTCCTCCTTACCAACAGAATTCTCCTGCCCTCAGCAGCACAGCCTGAGCTCTTCCCTTCCTATAGTGCTTACTGGATTTATTGCAAAGCTCATTTAATTTCTACTGAAAGGCTACACCTTCCTTCGGACTTGAGGTTTGTTTTTCTACAAATACAGTTATTTAAATAGTCTTCAATTTACTCTGAATGTATTGAGATAGTAAGCCTTCCAGCCTGTTTAAGGTGAGCAGTGGAAGCACACTGTGAAGATCAAAATCTTGCTTTTTCAAAGTTAGTGGGATGATAGCATCCTGTCTCATGGAACTGCAGCCTCCAGGTCAAACAGATTGGTTACTCCTAACCCTTGGACAAAAACACTTGTTTCTATGTTCTGGTTTTGACTTCCTTAAAGATGAGCAGGGAGTCTGCCCTGCCTTCTCACTATGATTGAGAACAGAATGATGTCTCCAACAGTGAGGCTGTTAAAGACATCCCACTCAATGATTACAGTTTCTTTATTCTGGCAATCAGGGACCACTGGTCCCCATATTAGTTTGGGAAAGTCAAGGACCTATCTGGGTAGTACAAATATGCTCTGTAGAGCATTTGACACATCCCATGGGAGCCTTGGCACCCTCCTATGCTCTGCTCTCCCACTATGAATTGTTTTAATGTGGTCCTTAACCATGAACTTCATTCCTGTTACTTCACTCCACCCAGCTCTGCTCCCCTGTGGCAGAGTCTGCATTCTGCTGTCCTCCCTGTGCCCTGCCTATCTCTGTTTCTCAGGGTGTCAGCTATCCTAGCACAAAGGAGTGATACAAGCTTGGAACACATCAACTGGTACTTTTCAGGAGCAGTTCTTCCAAAGAGCTGCTGACAATGATCAAAGTTTAGTTTGCTACCTCTTACAAAAGCAGAGACTGTCCTCTCCTATCTCTGCATCTTTCCCTTCTGAATTTTAGACCACTTTCTCAGTACTGCTTACAGCATTTCTTGACATTTTGGAATTAAACAGATGCAGCATTTAAATACTTATTTTCCGTCACAGAAATGCCATCCAGTTGAGTATAAGATCCTCCACAGGCTTAGCCTTTTAAATGCTGTTTTGTTTTAGCTCCTTCCCTCTCTTTGTATATTCATTGACATGCTCTAGCTTAAATATGTCCTCAACTCCACCCAAAACATGAGGTTAATATCAGTATTCAGCACCTCGAAAACTGATTTTAAATCTGACAAGTAACAGAAAAATGGCACTGACAGTTCACAAGTATCTTACAAATGCACAGAAAAATCTTACCAGCAACAATCCTAACAGCCAGGCTCAAATTTTAGAAAAGAGTTATAAGAATTTAAATCATATAACTGCTCATCTGAAAACCAGTCTGATGCCAAGACTACAGAACGAGTCTTACACAACCCATTTTAATATTGCAGCTGAATAGGAAATGGGAACATTCCAGTCTGGTCAGCAGGTTCACTAAGACATTGTTGATTAACAAAGGGACAGTAGGTATGGTAAGTTAATAGTTTGTGCAAGATTTCAGGAAACGACATAGGCAAATTTCAGGAACCTGGAAATTTACTGGTAGTTCTTTATGTACACTACAGGACTGCCTTTGGAACGCTGTTTGCTCAGCTACAGTAACTGCTACCATTTGTCTTCAGCAGTTCACCCTGTGGCCCATGTGCAATGGCATCTGGCCATTTTTTATCCTCTGATGAATTATGCAAGTCACCCAATCTCCATAATCCCCTGCCCTCTACAAACATACAATGACTCCTCCCTCACCAGTACAACTGGTCTTAGTGCTGCATTTCAGAGGATAGGCTTATACACACGGAATTCAAGTTTTCTATTATTTCTTCAACAAGTGAGAGAGAACTATACTTATTTGACAAGTCAATGTAATCATGAAGTAAAAGGATTTGCTGTAATCAATTCTCAGAATGTAATGTGATGTATACTGTCTGGTCCCATATCTAGCTCAGCAGGTTGACAGCAAAGGCTGTTTGGAGAACTGCTGTGCCCATTTTTCAAATCCAAAACTGTAATATACTGAAGAGCGGAAAATTCAAATCACTGAAGAATTCCTATGCTCCAAATTATCCACTTCTTTCATCTTGCCATTGCCTTGTCCAAATATTTTATGATTTGTGGTTTACAAGAGAAAAAATACAAAGGGGGAGTGTGCTCAGTAGCAGCTACACAGTCCTGAACTTGCTCACAGAAGGCAATAACTGGGACAGAAAGTTTAGGGAGGATTATCCATCCACTGCTTCCCCCACAACTGCTCGCAGTGCTGACGGTTTTGCCATGCAGATGTTAGTTGGTAATAAAGCATGATGACAAGAGACTGCAAGACGCATGCCAGAGACTACTTTCAGTCCCCCCAAAGCACCTCCACCTTTGCCAGGTTATTAATGAACACTTGCCAGGGAAGAGTGACATAAATGGCTAAGGCATTTCTGCTTTTAATTAACCGTGTCCCACAGGGGGACAAGGGGGATGCACAGTGCTTGAAACACTGAAAAGTAGGTAAATGTTTGCCTGTCATTCCACAGGATTGACAGGTTTGAATCACGTAATTCAGGACATTTCTTTCTTTCCTGTGGAAGCAAAGCAGTTGGAGGGTTATCTGTCAAAGTCCTGAAATTAAGAGAGATGCATGGGATATCATAAGAGGTATTATTTGACACAAACTCCTCCCCAGCACTCTTTCACTTCTGCTGTGGCAGTAGCTGTGGCTATATTTAGTAAGTAGCACTATATATGAATGATTCCCAGAAAAAATGACGCTTTAACAGAACTAGTATTTCCAGTTAGAAGCAATGGGGCTGGGGGACATGGAAAATTCTTCCAGGCACCAGACAAGGAGAGAGCCAAGAGTTATAAAAATATTACTTACTATACATTAGTGTTGTCCCAGCAACAGAAAACCAATCATAACATTATGAGGAGTGGAAGAAAAAAGCAGCACTAAAATTTTACAATGACGGCCTTTCTTCCACAGCACTGCTTCAATTTCAGGTGACATTACTTTCACTGCAACAATTATGGCAGATTGATCATATCCTCATATAACAGAGGGCAGCACATCCCTGCTTCCTTTCTTTTGGAGGCATATTGTTTCATGCAGCTCAGAACTTCAAGTCAGCAATGATTGTTTTCTGCATTTAAATAAAAAGGGCACTTCAACACAACGAAAATAAAGACCTCTATAAATTTCTTTCTTTTTCACTCCTGTCTCTTTACAGCACATGAATTGAGGACACCTTTTCCTGGACCTTGAACTGCAGAGGTATCTGCTGTGGACCAGAGCTTATTGCTGGATGTACATAGCCACATGGATTCTCATGTGAAGTGCAAGTATTCCTTGGCATTCTTGACCCAACCCAGCAGGGCTTGGCTACGCAGCACTTTCCAGGCTTCTTGATAATTTAATGCAGCTTCCTTGTAGTCCCAGTAGGTTTTTAGAGTCTTCATCCTGACAGAAAATGCACAGAAATGAAAACAATTCTATGATCCTATTGAATATGATGTCACAGACTTAAAAAAGCAATCAAACGTCTAAGAACATGATGATACCCTATGAGCTCTTTCATGCTACTAGGTGAAATTCTCTTCTAGAGAGACTTGGAGAGGCCCCGGCCCTGAAGCCAAGCATTGTCAGCAGTCTTACAAAAGGCAGCAAAACAACTCTTCTACCATGCTTCATACACAGTCTCCAGCAATAGAAGTGTTTGACTGTGTGACCACAGGTTACAGAAAATTTCCATGATAGCAAAAAATGCTGAAGCAAAGCTGAAAAGGTGGCTAGAGATGCTTCGAATCGGGTAGAAGTAGCCTTAGCTTGCTAGAAGAACAGATATGCTTGCTGGCTGGAAGGGAAAGGGACAGAACAAACAGGACAGTTCTTTTCCAACACAAAACTAATGAGGAAGAGTGAGACAAAGGAGAAAATAAATTTTTTTCTTTCCCTAAAGCAAAAGAGACTCAGTGGTTTTGGTGCTCTGTTCCTCTTCCTCAAGTAGCACCTATTCCCCACAGCCTCAGCAGAACTATTGGTCACTCTGCTGAGTACATTATGCCACTGAATTTCAAAAGAGAGAAATTCAGGCCTAGAGCATCTGACAACAAGTGTTCTAAGACAATTTTGTCAAGACTTTTTTCCTTTCCTTGCATTCCTTTCTCAGCTTCTTTCATCTCCTTTTGCCAAAAAGTCTGTCAGCCACATGTGGTATGCAATGTTTTTACACATTAAACCCAATACAAAGGAAAGATGACAGGCAACATGACCTTCACCAAGGAGGAGGAAGAGCCAAACTACTACAGAAACCCTAACCTAAAAAGTCTGAGAACCACTGCACTGACTTCTAGAACAGGCTTTAATCCTCAAAGGCAATAATGATCACCCATCACCCCCAAAACCGCAGACCATGAGAAGCTGTGTTTCAGGTATTCATCATTCTGCTATAAATTTATTTCTAGAATGCTATGACATGCATAGCAAGCCATATTATCTATCCTGCAGACCTTATGTTCTGAATGTGAGAGAGTGGTGAACCTGTCTATGCCATCGCTGAACACAGGAGATGTCTTCCCCCTTAACAAACCTGCCCTGCACTCTCATCCCAGCTAATTCATTCTGCTTTACCTCTTTCACATTAATCATACTCCATGAAACTAACTTTGAGCTCCTCTGATAAGTTCCATGGAAGGGCCCCCTGCAACTCTCCCCCACCTGGGCAGTGGACCAGTCACAGAACCCCATAATCTGTAGCGGATCATAGTTTAGGAGCATCACTGAACAGGCAAAAGACCAGCAACTATTTGCATAAGCAGCATTCAGGAAACAACCTGGTCCAAGAAGGATCAAAGTCAACCCTCCACAACTGGCTCCAAAACCCTGGCATAGGCAAGCTGTTTGTCTTCCAGGTCTGCCTCAAACACAGTACAAACCACCTGCACCTTCACCTCCGTTTCATCTATTTTTCATTTCTTCCTTGCTAAATGTTGCTCTTTTTTCCTGAATCTGCTGTCAAATTAGCAGCCCTGACTCATATCATCAGTCTGACCCAATTTAATTAAAACACATAGGGGATTTTTCTAACCTACATTATTCCAACAGACCTTTGTTTGGAAACTCTTACAGCAGACAGTAAAAAGATAGCTAGAACAAAAGCAGGATAGACAGGAGCAGGATTCTCACCACACTGTAGCAACTACTAGAGCACATGTGACCACAGCCTCTTGGGGTCTCATTCTCCAAGCAGACAACATCAGTACAGTGATTTAAAAGCGCATGCAACAGAAATTAAAAAAGTATTTTAAACAGCTTCCTCAAAGAGCTGACAAAATCAACAGATTTAGTTAATTCATGCTTGATTTCCGCATTAAGCTTCTAAGAAATTTTCAACACATATACAGGAAAAATTCTTTCAAATTCTGCGTACATTGTATCTGCATAAAAACCTTACATGACTTGACTGTATCTCAGATGTAGTTAAGGCTCTGAGCATTAGTAATGAAGAACCTGTGACCTTTTTTTTGGCAGAAGCAAGCAGTAGTTTGCTGCCCCAGGCTAAGTTAAACACAGTCACAGGATCTCCACCCTATCCAATCTGTCTGATATACATTTCTTGCATGTCTCCCTTTACTATTTCAATCTTGCCCCTACACTACTGTGCAAGAGAGAGACAGGGATTCTGACTGCTATGTGCCAGAGACATGAGAAGTGGTCCACAGACTTCATTCTGAAAGGTAACACAAAAAAGCCTTACAAAAATCACCATTATGCTTGAAAACATTCCCATCCTCAGCTACATGCAAAGCTGAGCAGGAATGGGCTCATAAAAAAGGCAGCCTGCAAAGAAAAGCAATAAACTGCAGCAATACTTCCTTCTCAGGTAACAAACCCTACCTTTAATTCCATATTCAGTTTCAAACATTTATGTTTAACCCATAATGTATTTGCAAGATTACAGACACATTGCACGTGAAAAATATGCACAAGGAATCAACCAAAATATTTCTCTTACAAAAATTACCAATTGCTGAATGATGCTTAACGTCTTAGCTAAGCTACACTAACACAAACACCTAACCTTGCCTTCTAGGAGAGCCAGCAAAGTTCTGGCCCCAGTAGGCTCTCTACCTGTTCCAATTTAACAGTGCCCAGACTCATGCTCTGGACAGAAGCAAAGAATGAAAGAGAAAGGATGACAAAAGAAGCAGGAGAAGCAGCTTTAGATATACAAAAGAAGAAAACAAAACATCAGAATCAGTATAAAGCTTTAACTTCCCTGGTTCCTAGGCCTAACAGTGGACAACAGTTAAGTTGGAAGGAAGGGTTAAGTGAAGAATGATCCTTGTCCTAATATACCCTACAACTACAAAACAAGCTACTCAGCAATTTTGAAATTATTACAGAATGAGTTTCCCCCAGTGGAACAGAAAGGATGGGAGGCAAGAGACCAAAAAGTAGACTAAAAGAGGCAGGGCAGGAACTTAGGGTCAAAGTGTGAAAAGGGAACTGGGTGGCAGCACAGCATTAGAGCCAACCATTTGTGGGAAGAGATAACAGGATACCTTTGCATGGAAAGAAAATACAAAACTGCGTAACAGTTAAATACGCAGAAGTTTAGAGGATACAATTTGAGATTGTGGGATTTCTTATCTGAAGTTTGCTCAAACTCAGACTCCAAGGAAGAAAGAAAAACAAAAATATGTCAGAATATTGTGTAGAAAAGGGAAGATGAAGGAAACAGCAACACTAAGACACTATTTTTATTTTGCTTTTTAAGTGAAGAAGAAAAACAAAGACTTCAAAAGTGAATCAGCTGCACAAGCTGACTGGTGAGCTAGCACCTCTACTGTATAAATAGAGTTTATGCAGCCTAAAACCAGTGTCACATCTGTGAATCAGCTGGACTTTGTCAGGAGAAGCCCAGACAGAAAAATAGTAGAGGACAAAAAAGTCAAAGGAAATGGCAAAGCCACTGGAGTCTAGAAAAGCCCTGAGGTGAAGTGACTTTATGTAAGCAGCACATGATCAGAACAATGAGTCACCTACCCAACAATGCACCAGTTCACAACCTGTTTTGAGGAAATTATGATGGCTAAACAAGTGAGGACAAACTCCTACCCAAAAGAGGATAATAACAGTATATTTTATAATAATAATAATAATAATTTTATATTTTAAACTGATTTAAGAAGAGAGTGTATCTCTACTTTAGAATGAGTTGAAAGCATCTCATGCTGACATCAGAACTTTGAAATAGTTATGAGACACTTCTACAGAATCTTTAATTCAACAAAACTCAAAAGCAAGCAAGATCTATTAATAAAAGATCCGGGGTGCACTTACTTTGGCTAATTTCACTGCATCTACTGTCTTGGTACCATGAAAGGCTGAAAAAGGCCTATCTCCCCTGCTTCCAGCCACACACCTCCTACTTCCTGTTTTAACTTTCCATGAGCCAATTCAGCCCACCAGTCCAAGAGAAAACACAGAAAACAAGAATATTGTTTCCATCCACATTAGTTAGTTGAACTGACTCACCATGAGACTGGAGAAGTGCTATTGATACAAGGGAGAAAACAGGAATCTACAGCCAGTAGCAGTAGAGACTGCTGGGGGACCATCCCTATCAGCAGCTACAAGCAGTTAAATTAGCTCAAGAGTTCGTGCAACTGCATCCTAGAGCTGGTGAAATTATACCTGGAAATAAGTCTAAAATAAAATAAACCTTCTGTGGCAATGGATTTGGAACCTTCTACCTCTCTCAGAACCTCTAAGCCAGAGAGAGAAGTTTTCTGTGCATGTGAAACTATGCCTTGCTTTACGGCAGCTATTGGGGCTGGAATACCAACCAATAATGCACATAATGCTAAGGCAGACTGGATGATTACTGCAAGTAATTAACTCCAGTTTGATAAACCAAACTTGTTTCTAATAATGTAAAGGAAAATTCCAAGTATGGCCTCCTTGCACAAAAGCTTCCTTCTGTTCTTTTTAGAAAGTCTCCATCTATGTAACATATGCATTGCATAAAGAGCACTACACACTATCTCACCTTACTAGCTCCTACTCCACCATACACTGAGAAAAGATTTTAGCCTAGACTTAAAAAAAAAAAAAAGGTTTTACTGAAACTCTTCCTTTTTGTGAAACAAAGAAATGGCATTTGATAGAATTACTAAACACCAACTCAATAACTCCCCAATTTTTGGATGCGGGGTTTGAACACCACCAAGGGTAGGCAGCTGATCTAGTAGCCATGTTTTCAAAAAAAGATACTACTGCCTCATCTTGTGTCTCTTTTCACATTTTTCAAGTATCAGATTTTAACAATGAACTTATCTGAAGGGAGATTCATGAGCAGATTCTACTATCATCACAGTATTCTTTGGTTTCATTACGATAAACTCACTCTTCTAAATGCAATAATAATGCCTTTACCGGAGAGTGTCTGGTAGATCCTCTTGTGAAATACTTGTCACCAGCTTTTGGAATTTATGGAAGAGCTCCACTTTACAGATCTTGGATCTAATATATAAAAAAAAATAAATTAGAAATTCTGATAGAAAAAAGAAATCAGAAGTTTACTTTCCCATGAAGAGCAGAGATCAATGTCTGCCCCTCCACATCCCCTCGTGAGGAAGTTGTAACTGTGATGAGGTCTCCCCTCAGTCTCCTCTTCTCCAAGCTGAACAAATCAAGTCACCTCAGCCGTTCCTCACAAGGCTTCCCCTTCAGACCATTCATTATCTTGATGGCCCCTTCTCTGGACACTAATAGCTTTATATTCTTCTTATGTTCTGGTGCCCAAAACTGCACATAAGGTGAGGCTGCCCCAGTGCAGAGCAGAGGGGGACAATCCCCTCCCTCGCCGGGCCAGCGATGCTTTGCCTGATGCTCCCCAGGACATGGCTGGCCCTCCTGGCTGCCAGGGCACTGCTGACTCATGTCCAACTTGCCATTGACCAGGACCTCCAGGTCCCTTTCCACAGCACTGCTCTCCAGCCTCCATTCCCCAGTCTGTACATACATCCAGGGTTGCCCCATCCCAGGTGCAGAAACCAAGACTTTTCTTTTTCAAACTTCGTAAGGGTTGGTGATTGTTCAGCCCTCTAATTTGTCGAGGTGTCTGCAGCGCCCCTCTTCCTTCCAGGGAGTTGACAGCTCCTCCCAGTTTAGTATCTTCGGCAAACTTACTTAGTGTACCTTCGAGTCCTGCGTCCAAGTCGCTTATGAAGATGTTGAAAAGCACTGACCCTAAAACAAAGCCCTGCTGAACCCCACTGGTGACCGGGTCATGTAAAGACACTCTAAAATTTAATCTTCAACTTAATCTGTCAAAGGTTCATACTGTAGTCTTTGGTGGTGTAGTTAATTAAGCATTAACAAAAGTACATACCAGACATTTACCTACAAATTCCTTTTAGTCAGTCAGCTTTACCTTCCTTGATATCTAGTGTTATCTAGCATATTGATTCAAGAGAAAAAAAAGTGTAGAAATACTTATCATGTTTATTATTAACCACCCCCCCAATAAGGCTGTAAATTTCTTATTTTCATTATAAAAGTTCCTTTTGTGACTGTTTATCATGAAAGTGTAAATAGTTGTTCCTTGACATTGCTTTTAATCCTCATTTCCTAAGGGAATGAGACGTTTGTAATCACAGTCTTGTAGACTCTAATAACTTTTGAACGTTTTAGTGAATTTTGAGCACATATTGAGAGGAGGATCTCTCAACACAAAGTTCTTACACTTCTATGCTAACTGGCAGCTAGCAGATGGCTCTCAAGTTTTCGAGCTGATACACAAATGCTATGTAACACATTTAAGCCTACTGAGAAAAAAGGGGTTGGTTGGTTTGTTTGATCTTTCACACATCTTCTGGAATACATTACACACCACATATTGAAAGCTACTATTCTACAGTGCACAGAAAGCCTGTCTCAAAAGACACACTAATTCACCCAGGTCATGCATGTTAGCAATACCTCAGACACCTATACTGGTCACAAACCACGAAGTTCTCCTTCTTTACACAGAAAATTTGAAAATACTAGGATATACCAGTATGAACTTCAGTCAAGTCAGGCCTAACCTGAAGAAGCTCAGAATCTGCGACTTGTGGGCATGTGAACAAGTTCTCCACAAGAATTGTCCGTGCTCCACTTATTTTGCTATTCACTACTCAGGATTATTGTCATTCTCCCAGAAAGTGTGGGAAAAATGAACAATATTACCATTGATAAATTGGTAGTAGAAGTAGCCAACAACTAATACACGAACCCTAACTCTCAAGCTGAATTTCCACGGACCACTGATAATTTTGGTTATCTCACCTAAACTGAAGATAACATTGAGATGGAGAAATTTGTCTGCAGATGTTACAAGTAATTGTTCTCAACCACAAGAAAAATACGTAACAGGCTTTTTTAAGCATTAATTGTTGATAAAAGATTATGAGATGTTTTAAAGAGCACAGTGCCAAGACCGCAGTTGGAAAGGTTACATGTTTCATGTTAGGAATGAGCTGCAAGCATTTCAATACATTTTCAAACTTTAAGGCAGAAAGTCATGCTTCAAAGCAACGCTTCTAACAATCACACAACCAGTTCAGTTCGCTTGACTCTTAAAGAAAAAGAAATCTGTAAAAAGAGAACTTGCAATGTACACATTTCCTTCATAGTCATCAACCCAAAAAAATATAAAGCAAAAATTCTGTTAACTTCACCAGTAAATATCCTTCTCATAAAAATTTATCATAGTCACCTGCCTTTATCTACAATGCTCTCAACAATGACAAACAAATAGGATAAACTTGTTAACTCTCATTTAACTTTTTTATTGCAACTGTCCTCTCTTCCTTACACAGTGACTCTCCCCTTTCCCCTGCTCCCTACCTTCCCTCCTTTTCCCCATTCCCTAGACTTCCTTCTGCTCTGACAACGCCCTACACGTCACACGAGCTGATAGAGGCATGTATGCTAACAAATAAAACGCGTGTCCGGATATTACAATATTCTCACACCTGCTCTGATGGCTCCCAATCCCCTTCTTTGTTGTTCCCTGGCGGAAGCCATTTGAGGTGACATCCAGAGGTTCCTCAGGGACTGCGCTCCAACTGATGGCTGTAGAAGAAAGGATTATGAACAAGGGAGATCCTCTTAACACAAAAGCAGAACCTAGCAGTTCCTATGTGTTCATGTGCTGCTTCCCAAAGTAACTCAAACTAGAAAGAGGACCGTGGTTCTCTAGGGCCGGAATTCCAGTACCTAAAAGAACAGGTAAACTCCGTTTAATTAAAAAAAAAATTAAAATACACGTACACACACACACAGAGCTTTCATCTTAATTAGATCCTTTAAGAATGCATGCTTCTAAATATCTGGCCTCCAGCTTTGTAATTCTCCCTTTCTTAGGGGGATTCTACTTTCTTTTGTACATCCTGTCCAGATAAAACATGAAGAAATTTCAAAGTCAGATGGCTTATTTTCACATCAGGCAGTGAAACAGTCCCCTAAGCTACTTGCACCAGTCATTCTGTGTTTTCCTTAGTAATTTATTGTCTGCTATTATTTTATTGTGTAAATAGTTCTGTGTTTGATAACTGATATGCATCAAGTATCTGCAGACTTTACTTGAAAAATACTATTAGCTAGTAGTCAAAAACAGTTTGCTGAAAGAGGTAGCATATGCCAACAACTTTATCCTTTGCTCCAATTTTGGGAACTTTGTAATCATTTGAGACTGCAAACTTCTTAATGCTGAAACTCTGCATAGGACACCTAATGATTAATAAGTAACCAGCAAAGCATCGGCAGCGTTGGCAGAACCTGGCGTGTCCCATCTGCCCCTGCACAGCGGGTCCTTTAACTCCTACTGCCGTAAGACAACTTCTGTTCCCTAAATTATCCCATTTCTCTGTGTTCCTAACAGGCAAAACAGTTGCATGTTCATTAACTCTAAAGACCATCTTGACATCCAAGACTCTCAAAGACTGGTTATGATTCAGCTGCAACTGTCATACTCCTCTAAGTGTCAATTGTACCTGCACTGTGATTTAAGTACAATTCTGTATGGCTCTACTAAATTACAATCTTATGTAGCATGAAATAACATTAGATACGTACAACTGGTATTAAATCCTCCACATGTATCTAAAAATCACCTGTCAGAGGACATCAGATTCTGACAAGCAAATACAAAGTCACTTAAAAATGAGAACACTTTCTATTCTTTCGCTTCTTCATAATTATCTCAAACTTCAAAATATTAAACAGAACATGTTTTTCTTTTTTAAAAATACCAGCTGAAATGTTCCTATCGAGCATATTTCAATGCTCAGGGTAACAGCCCAGAATTTAGAGTTTATTCTGATTTTCAATCCTTCAAGAAAAGAATCAAGCCAGCATAATTCATGTTTGCAAAAAAAACTGTGAAAAAGCATCATTCATTTTCATTTAACAGAATGACCTGAAAAGTGTACAGAAAGACAGATATACACTGAATTTAGTCGCAGTTTGTTTCAGATCTTTTTTGATATGTGAATTAGCAGTATTTTTCAATGATGAATGTTGTTTCCTATCTCACAAAGTCAAAATAGTTTCCTTCCTGGCACTTATAAATAACTCCAATGTAATGAATCTGAATTCCATTAAGGAATCCTTTGTTTCCATTCTATTTTATCATCAGCTCTATTGTAACAGAAAAACTTCCAGTTCTACTTCAGACAGCAGAAGGTAGGCATGTCCAAGTTTAAGGAAACTGCTTAACCATACACAGAGTGGCAGCTCTATTTTTTTTTCCCAAATGAGACCATGTTGCTAAATCACAACGAGACTTGCATATTCATTCATCACCATGACAAAAAATGCCATGTCCAAAATCTCTATCAATTAAACCTTTACACTATACTACTCTGTATTCTTTCTTCGTTCAGATTTCTGGAGCAATTACAAGCATAACTCAGCATGGCAATTCTTCTTTTCATTACCAAGGAGAATGCAAAACTAACTGAAACAAGAAGTCTTTTGATATTTTTGTTTTCTTCTTGCCCTCGGAACTTTTGTTTTCCCTGGTTATTTTGTGTCTGTGTTCAGATTATAAATTCTTAACGTCATCAACCAAGTGTTTATTCAGTCTGAAAACTCCCTACAGGAAACTAAAGGCTGAGCTGCATAATATTAATTATTAACAATTAAGTTACGACCTGAAATTAATTTCCCGCTGTTCATACTTTGCCTCTAGCACTGGCACTGAATGATGTTCCAAACAATCCAAACCACCTCATTTCTATTTGGACTTTTGCACTCAGTTATGCAACTGGCCCAAGTTAACTCACCTGCACTACAAGGAACAAGTTTTGTTTTGCTGTTAGATTGAATTTCCTGAACTGCCTCACGACTGTGTTCGAATCGAAGATCCGACTGCAGCAGCTTAACCTCCTGAGCCAGAAAACCATCTGGTAAAGATGAGATGTGCTTACACCTAAAATAAAGGCAGAAAAATGCAAATGATTTTCAGTCTGTTCTTCCCAAACAAGCTCATTTTGTATAATTTTCCTTCATTATCCAAAATATGTTGCTTTTACATGAAAACTGAATTCAACATAAGTTACAAAGGAAAGACAGCAAGGTTTGAAGGCATTTTTCCCTTAAAAAATATTTGTTAAAAAAAAAAACAAACAAAGCCACATTAGTTTATTAAGACCTTGACCATCCTAGAAAAACTACAATGAATTGATTTTTTAAAAGGTCTGTTAAAAGCTAGTATGCAGGATAGAAACTGCAATATACTTCTGCAATCACAAAGAAAAATAATAACCATAAAGTACTTATATAGTCAACCACATTATATTAGCAATTTTTAATGAACCTAAAGTTTCATAATCAAAGCCTAAACAGATACAAAATATACTTGCAGTTCTATGTGTAATTGCATCTTCGTTACCTTACATTACCATTGCATACGGAATGAGATTAGGATATGACAAAAATAGGGTGTTTAATCACCATAATATTTACACAGAGCAAGAAAAAATTAAGACTGAGGTTCATATTGTCAGATGGAATAGTCTGAAAAAGTGCCTGACTTTGCAACTAAGAATAATAAGGCTAAGCAAGTTCTTGTCACATGTGTTACAGATGTGTTACACATGGGCCCAGCCATTCAGACAGTTTTCAATCCACATGTCTGCTCATCCAGCTCGTACTTTAACAGATTCTCTATTAGGACCTTACAAGATGCAGTGTCAAAAGCTTACTGAAGTTCTGATACTTGTGTGACACCCATTGTCTTTCCAAACTCATTGTCTCCATACACACCATCTGATTTCCAAAGGAGAGCACTTACCTTTCAATAATTGCTCTCCGCATGGCTTCTTGGCTATATGGACACTTCCCCACTATAACTGCCGACAGATACACTGGATACTGCAGGAAATGCATGAGAAGAGCTCCTTGACACCCTAACACATTCCAGCGAGCCAGTTTATCACTGCAGGACATAGAGCAGGTTCTGTCTCCACGACCTGGCTTCACTCGTAATAATCCCACACAGTGGTACCCCAGCCCAGGTGTTCGGGCATCATCCAGCTCTCCAGGCACACATTTGGCTCCAGTTCTATGAACATCTACCACCTTTGGTCTCACTAAGCCAGTCTCCTTATGAGCTGTTTGAATCTCTGCAGAACAGTCACAGCACTTTTGATTTGTGTCGTCTTCTCGTTTTACAGATTCTTGCTGAACAGGCAGGTCTTCGGTGACTGTGGAAAAACAACCATCATCTTCAGTCTTCATTCTCTTGCTTGCACGATTATTTGTCATGTTCTCTGCTTTCCTTTTATCTCCTGGACACAAATGATTATGGTTACTTCTACATTCTGCTGATTGTCCAGCTCCATCACCTGCAGTCACTGGCTTAGAAAGCTGCTTCTCTGCTTCACTCATTGGAATAATAGAAGCATCTCCACCTAGAACCAAAGAAATAACATAAAATTGGCCAAAAACACATCACACCAGTAATATCACAACTACTATTACCTTTCAGAGAGTTGCACTCGGGAAAATTTAACTACGAGAATGTGTTTTTAAGACAACACTGTCCTGTGCAATTATGAATCAGATTTCACTGAAATTTGAGCCAATATATGCTCAACTTCAAGTTTTGCATTCTACGTAAGAAACAAACAAAAAAGCAAAATTTAAAACAAAACCTATAAAGCAAAAGGTAACAAAGGCATTTGACAGACTACAAGCAGTGCTGAAGACTCACAGGAAAACCAGTCTGATCTAACTAAACAACATGAACCTCAAAAGAGTAACTAAAGAATAATCTGTCAAATAAGGGTGAAAACTTTAATCTGTATCACTGAAACAAGCTCAAAACCAGAATTCTGAAGCTCAGCTCACAGCAAGCAAAGCAAGTCTGACAGGCCTGGTGACAAAAAGAGCATTTTCCATGACAGAAGTTGCATTGCATTCCGTAAGAAGTTCCAGGTTGGGGAGCTGGTGATGTTTTGTCGGTGGGGCTTTTCTTGTTGTTCTTCAGGAGTTAGGTTTCAATTGGGGGGATGGGTTGTTTGGGGTTTTTTTTGGTTGGTTGGTTTTGGTTTGCTTGTTGGTTTCAGGTTTTTTGTGTTTGTTTTTTTTGGTTTTCTGCCTCACTGGGTTGAGGGGGGTATTGTTTGGTTGTTTTTAGTAACTGTGGTAAATGTCGGTATTTTCTATTAAAATTTTAATCCAAGGAGAATGTTTAAAGCAAAGCAACCGCACAATATGACAGGACCTTTGACAAGTATGTTAGTTTCTGGAAAAGAAAATACTAGCTATTATTGTTTAAAGTGAAACATTCAACTATATAACAAGCAGTATATCAGATTTACTGAGCTCTCATGAATCACATCCAGCAAGACAAAATTCCAAATCTATCTGTAGAGGACCAGTCAAGTACATCTTCAGGTACATACCTGTAACATGAATTACTGCCTCACCCTCACTCCAGACCAAAGAGAGACCGAAGAAAGGCAAAGGGCAGAAAATATTTTAAAAGTGGGAGCAATGTAATTGGTTCACTCCAGCATACTCACATGGGGTATGACTGGAGAAGAAAACAAATGTGATATTTGGTTTGAGTTTCCATTTTCCAGTTTCAGTTCCCGGACTAAAGATACTACACTGCTGATGGGAAACTGCCAGCCACATCTGATGGAGAAGGTACCTGTTAGGCAGAAAAGTTTTCATGAAACATTTACTGCATTTTTGATGCATGGGAAAACAACAAAACTTAGATGCCCTCTAGTGCCTGTTCTTTCCTGATGCAGTCTATGAGAAGCCAATCAGTTATGCTTCTACAGATAGACAGGATCCAACACACTCCATAAATGAAAACACATAATTGGAATTTCAATAACAGACCTCAAAGGGTTGGATTCAGTGGAGTTAACTATCTCCTCAAATTCTGTATATAAGGCCCTCTCCTCCCACTATGTGTGTTTTTACCAGCACTGGAACTCATTCGATTCTGTAAGACTCAGTTTGGTGGCATCAAATTGCAAGAAATGTACTCATTTCTGCAGAATTACTATTCTCCTGGCTCAGTTCCTTGAACCAGCTTATCCCATGTAAACAAGAGGACTGGTATGTGGGAAACGGCAAAACTTCTACCCTTGACCAGTAGTCATCAGACCTGCATTGATGTCACATGAAATCATATCCTAATTCTTCATAAAGAGGCTCTACAAGAACACAGAAGAAACAAGCTTTTGTGAAAGAGCCTTAACACCACCTAAAAGTTTAAAAATTAGGCTAAAATCCTGCTAACAGTGGGAAAGATTGTTGCCTGCAGAGAAGTAATGCAGTGTTTCATTACACTCTCCTATCTGAAGCTGCAAAATATGGCTATTTCAGCAACAGATCAAAACCATTTGTATCTCAAGCCCTTCAAGTGGTGTTGAGTAACAGCACATGAACTTCATGCCTCACCTCTGGAAGCTCCTCTTGGCCACAACTTCAGCATGACTGTCATTCAAAATGTCTCCTAAAGCAACAACCAAGTGAGATACGAATTATGACTGAAAAGTAGACAAACAAAGAAAACAGAATTTCACATAGGACAGTTCTCCAGATTTATTAGCATTTGAAGGTTTAACATTGGTATTAGGTTATTGTAAGATATTTAAACTTCCAATCACCACAAAAGGAGCCTACACAAATGAAGGATAAAAAATGGACGTCCAGAGCAAGGAAAGCCCTGCAATAAATAATGAAAAATGGTAGTTGTGAGAAGTCATGTATCTAATCCATACACTTTTGGAAACTATCTCACTGCAGAATACAGAGTAAGGGAGAAAAAGCCTGTTAGTGTCTTCCTGATGTCACCCCAAACTCAGCAGTGGCATCTTTTGTGCATCAGACCACAACAAAACCAGACTGTCAGGTAACCAACACACAATTATTTTGCTTACGTTTTGCTTTGCTTTTAGCTATGATGTCTTTGAGTATGCAGACTCAGGACCTAAGCTACACATTTCTACATATAAAAAGTTCATTCACCTTTAAGGCAGCAAGTGCAGCAAACCTTCAGGGCAGCCATTCTGGCTGCCTAAGCTCCTCTCTCCTTCATAAGGGGTGGTCTGACTTACACTTCTGGCTTCAATTCAGAATAAGTCTGAGCAGAATGCTTTGTACAGTTTTATTGATTCTATGACACCAGCAAGAGAGAAGGTAACATAGGTAGTCTGTTCTCGATTTTTACACCATACTTACCATTTTTTCTCATTTTGTTTTGGCCAATACATTTTGTTCCAGTTCCCATAGCAACAACTTCCTTAGATACTGAAAAAGAAACGTTAACTGAACAAACTATCACCAACTATTGCCAGAAGTCTTGCTCTCACACAGTTATTCTGGTAAGACAACACACAGAACATTGTGTAGAAGGGAATGGACAGGGAGACTGGCCATGCAACCTTACAGAAAGCAAACAGATCCAGAACTGAACACAGGAAGCAGAGGCATCAGTGCGAAGAAAAGTCTATGATGGCAAAGCAGGAACGCCAATACAGGCTTGATGTGCCAGACAGCACAAGTGGACACTGGCAGAGCATTCCCCAAATACATAAGAAATAAACACGGGATACAATCTGCCTGACAACACTGAAGTGCCAGTAAGAGAAAGAATAAATATGCAAATGCAAAATGCAGTAAGACAGTCTGTTAAAGGAGAGCAAACTGAGACCTTTCTAGGATTCTTTCAAATAGTAGCTAAACATTTTTGCAAGTGTTTATATTAGGAATTCAGGTCCTGCCTAGACGTTCACCACTTACTGAATAGCCAAATGCAGGTTTTCATCTTCTTAGTTAGTCTGGGAAGAACAGCGTTTCACTATAACCATCTCTTTACAGACAGAAGTTGTAAAAGCTTTTACAATCACAAAGAGTAAAGAATTTAGGTGGACATAGAAATGGGACAAGAAGGGGTGTATGCTTTTCTTAAAAGTCATCTTGGGGGGGGGAAAGCGCATCAAGGACTGCCACCTCCTCTCCCCATTCCCCACCTCCCAACCCTATCCCAACTCATTCTTACCCTGGAGGTTCCCCGGACTAGCAAAAACCTCAGTTTGGGCTGCAGACTCCACTTTGACAACAGCTGCCAGTGAAGTCCATTCCCTGTTTGGATCTGGCTTCCCCTGCCTGGGGAGTCTCGTCCTATAATGCAGGTAGCACAGCCCAGCGATTTCATCAGCTGACCACATGGCTCCCGGTGCAGGTGCAGGCTCCGAGCGGGGCCGGATTCCCTCACAGCCCGCGAACCGCCACCCGCACCCTCCCAACGCCGCCCGCGCTCCGCGGGGACACGGGCGGGGACTCGGCCGGGGGCGGCACCGCGCACGCGCAGCCGCGGCCCGAGCGCGGCTCCTGCGCACGCGCCCAGAGGCTCAGACAGCGGGGGCGAAACAAAGATTTATCCCAACAGCGGAATTTGTCAGTGTCGAGCAGGCGTCCTTTATTGACAGTACTAGGGCGCACCGGGGATAAACGCGTCCTTAAGTGCTCCGACAACATCACAAAAGCAAAAACCTTCTCTTTTCACAAGTCATTACACATTCATGTTAAATCCCGCCTAGTCCACGCCCACGCTATATTTATCGCTGTAATTATTTCACGGTCTCTGCTCCCATCTAGCGTCCTTTTATTACATTTACAGTCTCTTAGAAACACATCTTTTTAGTCCATAAATAATTCCGTTGTACTGCTTGTATCTTTTCGCTTTGAATGACTTGTTTCACAGCCTTGAATGCCGGAAGTTGACTGGTTACAGTTCAAAGATATATGCTATTCATTTGCAAAAGTTATGTTCCTTTCCCAGTTCCTATTATCTAAAAGTTAGAAAATTCTCAGCAAGTTAAGCAAAATCAAAGATTCTTGTACACATAACTTTAGCCTAACATAATCCTATGTTAATTCTTTATTAACTGTTTTCTATTAAAGTGTTAGTAGAAAAATTAAAATCTTTAAAAAACTTATACTAATAAATTCAAACTTAATTTGGAATATAAAAGATTTAGCAGATAGTGTTTAACAGTTCCCTTTCAGTTGTCTCGTTTCCAGCTCATGAAACTGGTTCTTGGTTGGGTAGTCTCACAGCCTTGGAGGCTGATTTGGTTACTGCTTTTAAGCGATACAAAAACATCTTCAAACTATGTGTCTTATCTTAAAAGTTATAGGATTCTCAGGCAAATTTCTCAGACAAGGAAAAATTTCAACAACATTAGTATCAGGCAAGTTTCTCAGGTAAATTAAGCAAAAGCATGTAACAGGATTAACAACCTTTTTCAGGGTGCAAAGAGCGTTGCCTTTATTTAGGTTTGCGCCACCCCGCGCTCACACAGAGGTGCCTGCGGTGGTCTGGAGCTTCACACAGAGGTGCCCTCGGCGGGGGGCTCAGGCTGTGCCTCCTTCTTGCTGTCCTCCGGCTTCATGGCGGGGAAGAGCAGCACCTCCTGCGGACAGTGACAGCGTCAGCACCACGCACCAGTCTCATGAGAACAGCCCCAGCCCAGCTCAGCCTCCCCAGAGCTGAGCAGGCACAGTGAAGAAGCTTTTCCTAGGACTGTGCATCTCCAGGCCTCTGACACGGCTGCACTGCCTGTCACTGGTCTCCAGGACTCTGACACGGCTGCACTGTTGTGTCACTGTTGAGGAGATGGCCAGCTTTGCAGAATCCCATTCCCTGCTCCCTGAAAAGCCTGAAGTTAGGCACTGCCACTGCCAATGCTTACCTTGATATTATTGGAGTCTGTAAGGAACATGGTCAACCGATCAATTCCCATGCCCCAGCCGGCTGTAGGAGGAAGGCCGTACTCCAGTGCAGTGCAGAAGTTTTCATCAATAAACATGGCTTCATCATCACCTGCAGCTTTTGCCTAGATGAGGAAGTTAATAGTAAAAGGTGGATTGTACAGAGCTAGATAGCACCACCTCTGCTACCAAAAAAGAGGAATACTAGTATTTGTAGCAGCCATGTAGCTGATGAAACCTAAGCCCTGTACAGCTGTGGAAGTGAGTAACAAATGAAGGAACCGCAGCACCTGGACAGCTGTGGGGGTCACTTGTACAGGTGCTCCCAAAACAGCTCCAGGCTCAGTTCCTTTCTGACCTGTCAGTTTCCTTTCTTGGCAAAGGCCCAAGCTCTTCAGTAAAAGCCATCTTCAAAGCCATACAGCAGCAGATGACAGCAGAATGAATTGCTTTTAAAAGCCTCTCAGGTTCTTTATTGCTTGCAACCCCTCCTTTAATGTTTGCAGAAACAACTAAGAAGCTTAACTGTTTGAATCATCAGTAGCTGCTCCATGAAACAAAATTTAGGGACTGCCTTTTTCCTCTCAATTAGAAAACTTAAAAACCCCTACACTGAGATAGTAACTAATGCCCTGACAGCCTCCAAGTGACAGAAGTCATAATAATAAAAAAGCCGACTAGCCATCTCAAATTTAGAAAATGCCAAACGTGTCAAAACAACAGCAAACATTTTTGCCCAGTTTCAAGGAAGACTTTGCAAAAGACTTGCAGCAAACTTTTCTGCCTGAAATCTTGAAATACAAACTGTCATTCCTCACCTCAGTCTCCACCTTAACATTAAATTTTCAGGCAAATTTTCATTCAATATATATAATCCTATATCTGCAAAGTCTGACTATAATCATGAGACAGCTACAGTAAATGTATATACAACAGATGAAACATAACAGGCACCTGTAGTATTATTCATTCTGACTGAATATTTTGAAATTTATTATCAAGTAAGTTAGTTAACATAAGTCTATTTTACTGACTTTGACAATTGTTTAATCCTCTCAGGCACTGTGAAGTGATTAGAGAGAGTATAAACGACAGCTTTGTTTCTGCAAACCACATCATCTGACTTCAATCATTTGGGGACAAGCATGCATTCATGGCTGTGTAGACCTAATTAATAGCAAAATGAGTTTCAGTCACTCCTTTAAGAGGCCTATTATTTAGAGAAACCTAGCAACATAAATTTGCAAGCTAATAATTTCCAATCTGCAGCTCTGTTCTGTGAGTCGATTTAAAATATTAATAACTCAGTTCAGGACATTAAGCTATTTCTTACACAGCATTCAAACTCTTACTGGACATGAAAATTTACTTAAGAACTTAAAGTATAATGTTGTATGACTACATAAATACTTAGTTGGGGAAAAATAACTTTCAACCTAGGCAAGACACAGAAAACACTTTGCACATTTGTGTTTTTCCAGATTAGTACTTCAGGCAGAATAAGAGTGAAGATATTCCAAAACAAAGTTGCACTAAAAAAAACAAATCAACAGCAGTGTTTGGACTTGTTTACCTTAGAGAGTAAGGTTCCTTACTTTAGAGAGCAAGGTTCCTTTAAGAGGAATTGAATTTTAATGACAGGCTTTCACTTGAGTGAGCAACACTCACCTCAAAGGAGTAACTCTTTTCAGCAGTAGGTACCAATGACTGATTTGGAGGAGCCATAGGAAATACTCTTTGCTTACACGTCTGTATCATTGATTAACCATCAGCAAGACATCATACCTTGGCCTGATCCTCAAAGAGCTGCCGTTGTCGGACGGGATCGTTGAGCTCTGTGTACGCATTGCACACTTCCTTCTTCATCACAAAGAGTTCGAAGCGTTCGGTCAGCCCTGGATGGGAGCGATGCCTGTGTGAAGAAGGCAAAACAGCCAAACCTTAAAATTAACATATTTATTGAACCAAAGAGCACATGCCTTACTATGGGGGGCTGTGCACACTTGGCACTAACAGCTGTCAAAACTTCGATGTGCTTTTTCCCTGGATGATGGGTTTCACAGCTCAGGAAGCAACCTTGATTTGTGTCAGAATTCACAAATTAGCACACAACATCAAAATCTCTGTTTTCACATACGTGACTTCTTTTTTTTTTTCTTTTTTTATAAAATAGGAGTAGAGGATTTAAAAGAATCACATACTGACTGTGACTCATACTCTTACCATTTGGCAAGAGGACTCATGACCTGTGGGTGATCACAGATGAATGTAGGGTTGATACAAGTGACTTCCAGGAATTCACCAACTAACTGGGAAAACAAAAGTGAAACAGTTACACAGAGTACAAAAAAAAAAACTACATAGAGTACAAAAACAATATCACTTTCCTAGTACTGCCTTCACAAAGCATCCTGATTTCTTCCCTTTGCTACTGAAGGTGGTACCATAAATACAAAGAGTTTCCCAAGTAACAATTTCTGATCACGGTAATGTCTTCATTAACAGAGAGTGTGTGTCCTAGTCAGGTAAGAAAAATGACATAGCAAAAACTGTATAATAATTCACTTTGCATGTTACAGCAAAGGCCAAAAAGAAAAGCATCAGAAGAACACCTATCAGACAACGTTTGGGTACAGCTGACAGAACTACATGCTAAGCCTACCTGTTTGGCAAGGTACATACAGATACACACATCTCGCAGACAGAACTGACATGAGATAAAGCAGATCTGCTTTAACCACAAGACACCAGCTATCAAACTACAATTCTCTAGCACTCAAATTAAGCAGACATAAGTAAACTACATTTTAGTGTAGACAACACAAAAGAAGATTTTATACAGCAAGTTTTCTCACTCTAATACAGCAATAGCTGAAATGCACTTCAGCACAGTTTCCCAGCTAAACTTCTTCTCTGAAGAGGCTTCTGTTGATACAGATAAACCCTCAAAGACATTAGGATTATAAAAATGGCACCCTTACTTACTTTGTCAAGAAGCCTGGCTGTTGTCCTGGGAGGTGGACATTCAATGTCTCTCTCTGCACAAAGATTATCAAAGAACTTGCGAGTTTCTGAAATTGTAAACAAAAAATTAGAAAAGCCACTCCAGCAATCATTTTCTGTTCTTACTAGATCCTGCAACATGTTTTAGAGTGATTTAGATCTTAATGGTAGACATCATGGAAAACCATGGGCTTAAATGTCAATCCACAAAAATAGTGTCTCACTTTAATAATTTACAGTAAAATATAAGTTATGTTATACTTCAGAAATTTGATACCACCACATGACTGCTGGACATTATTATTGGAAGAAAAAAGAAATCACTAAGAAGTGTATTAATTTGTTTTCTTATGTCTCTTGATTCCAGGAATAAAATAGCACATAAGTACATTTTGAATAAAGTCTCTAATAATCATATACCTAAGCTATGATTGCAGGCACAGAAACTCAACTTGCACAAAAGACAGAAGAAATAAGAAGTAAAAAGTTGGATCTCTTCAACAGATCAGGAACTCCCCACATCAC